GTTCTTATGGACCAATCAGAGCTGTTTATAATCCAAGGAGTGTTTCTTCTAGTTATAAACATTTTCATTAACAAACAAAAAAAAAATCGTATTTCTATTAGGTAGGAAGAAAAAACAACAAACTAAATCCTAGCAAAATAGGCAATCTGGGAAGACAGCTAGATAGCAAACGCCAGGAATTCACCTCCCTAGAAAATAACTGCACTACAGAATCTCTCTCCTGCACCTACTGAGGAACCTTGGACTCAGCAGGCTTGCAACTTAGAACAGAGGGTTTGGACTGTAAATTGCCATTCATTTTGACCAATTTCAGCCCATAGAGAGTGGCTACTGCCTATCCTGTGCCTCTCAGCCCTGTGGCAGACAGCTGTGCTCGTGTTATTGAAGCAGTTTGCACACAGGTGTGCCCAGGGTAGGCAAAAATGTCCCAAAGACACAGCATCCTAACCACTAGGCTAAAGGCCCACTCTAGTATCCAGGCTATATAATGTGTTATCAGTGTATAGCTTATTCATTTCCTGTAAACTTTTTGGCTATTCCTCATGTGATAGATTATAAAAATGTATTAAATTATCTTATTGTATCTCTATTTTCATGAACATTTTGAAGTATCCTCATATGCATATTATGAATACATATTGAGTGTACTCACATGCATATTACTGCAAGCATATTGACTCATCTGATCCATTGGAGGAAAAAAAAACAAGATGCAGGTAAAAGAATGTAAACTCCATTTTATACATGAGGAGATTGAGTAATTTGTGTTAGATGTATTAAACACATTAGCCACCATCAAAATCTTAAGTATTAAGTGAACAAATTGTGACAAATGGATACTTCCCTGCCCTCTGTGAGCTTTCAGTCTAGGTGAGAACATAGATTCTAAGTAGATGATTCCACAAGTAAGTATTTCATTTCCATTTAATATGTGACATGGAGTATAGAATATATAGCATGCTGTCAGTGTAGGTAGTGTTCATCGTAACTAATTATGAAAAGGAAGGAAATATCTTCCTAAGTGAACAACATTTAATGAAACCACAATATGAAAGCTATGAGTGAGGGGTAAGCAGGCAGAGGAGGCCATTAGAGCCAGAGGATGCACCATGTTAGAAGATCCCCGAGATGGGAGGGAAGAGATGGGATTTGGAGCAGCAGAGAACAGCCCAGGTGGGCTGAAACTTGAGAAGTAGGGGAGACAGTGGCTCAATGGAGCCAGCAGAATAGTTGAGCTAATTAGTTTGGGCTCTTAGAGTCTTAAAAGATTCTAGAAAAAAATATCTCATCTATTTAGGGAAGTCACTGGGCTTTTTTTCAGATTCATACTGAAAACAAGTTAGGGGGACAAGATGGGAAGAGGACAATGGGAGGTTAGTCACCAGGCTGTCATCACAGTAGCTGTGGGAGAGAAATGATGATAGCCGCCATCTGAGCAGCAACAATAGGTCAAGTCGAGATACGCAGTGTACAGAGTTGACGGAACTCAGTGAATGGCTGTGATAGCTAAGAAAGTTGTGAAGACGACTTCCAGGTAATGTGTCTTTCCCAGTGTCACATCAGTTAATACAAAGCAAGGACTCCACCTGGTTACTTAATTCCAAATTGTTTTTGCTTTCTGATACAACCAGCTTGTAGAAGGCCTTGTAAAGTAGATAAGATGGTAGGTAAGTTGCTGTTGCAGCTACTGTTATTTTCAAACTGCTGAAACCTCAAGCCTCCCTGGGTCTACTTGTGGAGACTCAATGAGACTCTACCAAACCGGAGTCTAGATAGAAGTCTATATTGGGCTGTATTTGGGATATTTGTACCATAAACATCTTTAAAATAGGTTATTCTGTTTATTAACTGGACAAAAGAACAAGCCGTTTGTGGCTCCCTCTTTTGTATATTCATTAAACATTTTAGAGGAATCGCCTTGAGAATTTATCTTCCATTGCGATCATTAGTTAATATTATTTATTTTTTAAAAAGATCAATTGATTTGAAAGACACAGTTTTGGAAGGCATTACAAAGAGGGAGAGAGAGATTTTCTGTTCCCTGGTCATTCCACAAATGGCTGCAATGGCTGAGGCTAGACCAGGTCAAAACTGGGAACTCCTTCTTAGTCTCCCATGTGATGGCAGAGGCCCAAGTATTTAGAGCATCTTCTGCTGCATTCCCAGGTACATTAGCAGGGAGCTGGATGAGAGTGGAGCATCTGGGATATTGTACCCATTTGGCATGCTAGAATCACAGGCAGTGGCTTAACCCCCTGCACCACAACACCAACCTCTAGGTAGACTTTCATATATGAAAATCTGAAGATCCTTTACTTACCAAAGGTATTTGACTTACAATTTTGTAACTTTATAATAGTGTACCTTTATTCAGCAAAAACCATACTTTTAATTTTATCCTTTTTCCAAGTTAGCAATATGTGGCACTTGGCAGCCACATGATCACAAGACAGACAGTCAGCCATCTCCAGAGCAGTGTGTGGCTGAGCCTTGGTAGTCGACAGGTTAGGTGCATTAAGTGCACTTTCAACCTAGAATGGTTATCAGGACATAACCCCATTGTGAGTCAAGGAGCATCTGTTTGTAGTTAGGCAAGAAAAATATATTAAAGTCCTAAAACTAAACACTGAGTTTACGTGCCTGGGGCATAAAAGGAATGGAGTCTATTCTGCCTATTTGTTTTGTTTATCTGATTTCTGTATGAAGCTCTGTTCAGAGGTTAATATTGTTAGACTTTAGAGCCTAAAGATTTGAGTCTTTTACCCAGTTAGTGGAAAGAACAAAGAGTAGTGGTTGAAAATGTGGTGGCATTAATAACTGGCATAGATAAAGCCACAGCGTTGTTTCAAACCAGTTGAATTTTACTCTCCTATTAATTTCTTAAATTACTTACAAGACTGGATTATTCCATAGACTGGTACTAATTATGATCTAATAGAGTGAATCATTAACAGTGGAGTGATTTCTTAGCTGCAAGTTTGTTTTATGTCCTCAAAGGACAGTGTTTGAAGGAAAATGTGGTAGTGTGAATAGAACTGAATAAACTACTAAATTTTAAATTAAATTGAAAAGCCGTATTTAACCTTATGGTTGAAATTTTACACATATAAACTGTCAGGAAATTCTAAATTATGGTTCCCATAACAGCAGTAATTCAGCACAATTGCCATTCTGTATTAAGGCATTAAAGTTAACACTCTGCACAATCACGTAATAAACGACATATGCATAAGAAGGCACATTATGGTAGCTGTGGGAACCATCATTTTGTACTTCCTGACTTGTACATTTAAAATCTGAATTCAGATGTGGATGCATGTAATCATGTTGAATTTCCATAAGAACAAATACAACTTCTTAAAGTATTAACACTTTGAAAGAAAACAAAGAATTGCCTATGAAATGTTTATAGATTTTAAATGTTTTATTACTGTAATGGTTGATAATATTTTTAAAAATATAAAGCATTCTCAAAGAAAAGTTTTAGGCCAAAAGTATATGCAAGTCTGAAGTTAATATATGTGAGGAAAATAAGTGAAGAAATGTAATGATATGTTTGTTTCATTTTTGACTGCAAAAGTACTATATGCGTATTAAAAAAAAAAACTTAGTGTGTAAGAAAAAGATAATGTCCCTCCCTCCCTTTCATTTTTACCAGTCCTGACACAGCCAGTATTAGCTACATAATATATATATGTAACCTGCGTTTTACTCTATGTTCCTACAAATATTTATATATATATAGAGTAACATTTTTGTTGTTACTTTTACAAAAATAACATCATGCCATAGTATAATAGGTCAGCAGATAATTCTAATTAATTCTCTACTGATTGCATAGTGTTCTACAGTGTAAATGCACTGCATGTTATTTAATCATGCCCTCCCTCCCCATTTTTTAAGACTTTTTTCTTTGAAAGTCATGTTTGCAGAGAAAAAGGAGAGACAGAGAGAAAGGTCTTCCTTCCCAAATGGCCACAACAGCAGGAGCCTGAAGCCTAAAGCCAGGAATTTTTTCCGGGTCTGCAACATGGGTGCAGGGGCCCAACAACTTCAGCCATCCTCTGCTGTTTTCCCAAGCCATAAGCAGGGAGCTGGATCAAAAGTGGAGCAGCTGGGATGCGAACTGGTGCTGTATGAGATGCTGGCACTAACAGATGGAAGGTTAGCCTGTTGAGCTGCCACACCAGCCCCATCCCCCTTTTGTATTTAAAAGGAGGAGTTATAGAGAGGGAGAGAGACAGAAAAATCTTCCATCTGCTGGTTTGCTCCCCTGGTGGCTACAGTGGCCAGTACTGGAATATGCCAAAGCCAAGTTCTTGGGATTCCATCCGGGTCTCCCATGTGAGTGGCAGGGGCCCAAATACTTGGGCCATCTTCCATTACTTTCACAAGCACATCATCAGGAAGCTGGGTCAGGAGTGGAGTGACAGGGACTCAAACCTGCACTCATATGGCATGCCAGCATTGCAACTGGCTGCTTAATGCACTGGCGCACAACATGAATGTATTATGCCAGGTCATGGGGAAACAGAAACAGACAAAACAGAAACAAACAAAAACTATCCCAACACTGAAGTAGGAGAGCCAGATTCATTTCAGTATGATGTGGCACATTCCCTGGTAAAGGGAGCCCTAAAACTTTCAACAAGAGAAGAGGCACTTACAGGATTTGGCTGAAATGAAGATCATTCTCAGACACAAGTCAGAAATCACTGGATGAAAGACTTACACATACGTCGTTTATTTTATATTTGTGTGATAAATATGTGTGTATATGTCAGTATGCAAAATCTTAGTAAAATTAGTAGATTTATGCAGAAATTTAAAAGTTTACACGCATAAGTAATCCCTTAGTATAAGCACTTAGAATAACCTTACTTTCAGTTGTTTTTTTAGTAATCTACAATGTGTTGCATTCTATAAATGAGTGACCTTGTTTTGATATTTAAACATACCAGTACATAAAGAACAATCTTTAATGTTCTTCCTCTGAACAGAGCATGTGACCATCTCCGTTGTGTAAGCTGTGATTTCAGGATAGTGAGCTACAATGACTGTATGTGGGACAAGTCCTGTGATTATCTGTTTTTCAGGTATGTTTCTAAAGAATTTCCTTTTGTAAAAATGTACCAAAAAACTTTACATATCTTGTTTTGTTGTATTGTCTGTTGGTGGACCTTGCCAGATTACTGTAGCATTTACCTCTTGTATCTTTCATCCATTTCTTCCTTTCCATCTGTCTTAGTTCGTTTTCTGTTGCTATAACTGAATACACACATTGGGTCATCTATAAAGAAAAGAGATGATTCAGCTCATAGTTTTGGAAGTACAAGAGCCTGGAACTAGCATCTGCTTGGTAGCTAGTGAGTGCCTTCTTACTAGGGGACTCTGCAGAATCCCAAGGTAGCTCAGAGCATCACATGTCAAGATGAAGTAAGCTAGCCACAGAGAATTCACTTTTATAATAAAGCTACTGGGCAATAACCCATTAATCCTTGAATCATTCATAAGGGCAGAGCCACTACCCTCTTACAGGTCCCATCTGGTCTCTCTCTTTGCCTCACAGAATATTAAATTAAACATGTGTTTTGGTGGGCCCATTACAGCATTGCACTGTCTGCTGTCAGCTTAGGCACACTTTTGTTACTTCCGGATGAGAAGTTCCTCACTGATACTTCCATCTGCAATGTGTTCATTCAGGCCGTCCTTTCCTTGCTCAAAATTAAAATATAAATCTGAGTTTGTTGTTCTTTTGCCTATTATTTTTCCTGTTTATGAGATAATGTCCAAATTCCTTAGCGTATCATTCAGGACCCCCTGTGATCCAACCTCCATCCATCCATCATCCAGCCTTGCTCTCCTCCGTATACTTGTCACCTCCATGAGATTTTAGCTTCTATTCCCTGTGACTTTATGTATGATTTCCCCCTCCCGGGATACCTTCCCACCATTTGGTCTGCCTGGACCCTTCCTGTGCTTCGGAGTACAATTTTTATTGTGCGTCTTCCGTGATTCCCTACCACTGTGTGAGCTGGAAGGCAAATGCTTCCTTTTCTTTGTGTCTACCACACTGCATTTACAGTGCACTATATTACAGCATTTACTGTAGCACAGAACTGGACTACAGGTGGCTGGTACACTGCCGCCTTTCTTCTTGTGGTCAGGATAGTATCTTATGCATAGTTCTATAATTTGTATATTCTTACACACTCGCTAATATATATCTTTAAATAAAAATGAAGAATTGAAAATGAATGAAGTGTCTATTTCATGGCGGCTTTGACTGCCAACTTCTATGCTTAAACAAAGACTATTTTTACATGCAAGTATAAGAGTATGTTGGGGCACTTTTCAATAGTTTATACTATTCTCTCCTTTACACGATTCTGTTTATACTCTTCTTCATGGAACAGGGTGAGAGACTTCTTCTGTGACCATTCTCAGGTAAATCTATAAAACTGTCCTCTAATCTAGAAACTTTAATTTGAGATGCCTCACAGTTCTTAACCCAAATAGAGCCTAGTACAGTGCCAAAATCCTAGATCGGGGAGTATGTATTATTAGACACAGAGGTATGAAGCCATGTGCCATGTCTGAGGAGTTACAATTGGTTTGAACTTTGTAAATTTTTGGATACAAGGGCCAGAGATGGCAAGAGGTAGAGCAGAAAAAAGACCAAAAAAAGAGCCAGAAAATCAGTGCTGTGTGTGATGCTATCTATTGATGAGGTAACCATTTGAAGGACAAGGTTGGATGTCGACTTCGAGGAGGTGCTGAAGCTGTTCTGCGGCTCATACAGGAAATGTAGTATGTCCCGTGGCAGTTGAAGCCATGAGGGTGGATGCCATGCGCTAGGCACACTGTGGGAAAGACGGTCACTGAATGCAGAGTTGAGGGCTCATCTTGTTAAGGCTCATCTTGTGATGCCTGGATGTTTCCACTGTGAGGGATGGAGCCAACTTGGAAGTCAGGGAACGCATAGGTAGGTACCTCTACATATCCTGTGAGCTGATGGAAAAGGAGCTTTGATATGCAAGGAAGAGAAAGAGAGCTAGGAGACAAGCTGTAGGCTTTTTGCATCTCATGACCCACAGTTGAGAATGTGGATGTAATCTGCCAGAATTAAGGGAGCAGTAGGTAAATCAAACACTGGAGGTGGGGAATAATCACTGGAGGAAACCAAGAAAGAACAGTGAGCAGAGGCAAGTGGAAAGGTCTACAGACTGCCACCTGAAGTCCTGCATAGGGAACAAAGGGACCATTTATTTTGGTGGTATCAAGGTGCATATTTATTACACAGAGAATAATAAAGTAATTGTCTATTTTATTGTCCTTATTTTACAAATGAGAGAAATAAGTGTACCTTACTATAGACAAGTTTTAGAAATTTCTAAACTTTTAAAGTATTTACATGTTTCTTAAAAAGCATTTGAAATATTTTATTTAGTTCCCTAGCTATTCATTATTCCTATTACTAAAATCTCTAATTAAGGATATGGTCAAGTGTAGGATATTAAGTTTGTCCAAATACATTGCAATTAAATGAAAAACATTTTCTCTCATTTACCTACCTAATTTTGCTTTTTTTTTTCCTGAAAAGACATATTTTTTAGTTCTCCCTTAGTTTATTGTAATGTTAGCAGACTCACTTAGCTAGCCAGTGCCTCAGTTTCCTAAACTCAGACATTAGTCTGAAAAATCTGGGAAATTGTGTCCTCAGTTTGTGCAACGCAGTGCTGAATGTGGTGCCCACTGACCACTAGAGGGCACTTTGTAACCTGCCTTCTCTTGCAGAGATAGCCACCCATTATAGAAGGCTTACACTGTATTTCATCATTTCACTTTGTACTTTTTCATTATTTTAGTTTTCATTTTTATGTTTTTCTATACCATGAAATGCTTACATAAACTCAGTACATGTGCTGTCACGAAAATAATTTGTTTTCTTAATTAAATAAAATTAACATACATGTTATTTTTATAATAGCATCAAATCTAGTGATAAGTGTCTTTTACCATGATTCTGTTCTTTGACTTAAAATGTGTAACCTTTTTTAGGATTAGCCTTGATTTTGTCCCTGATCATGTAACTAAATAAACAGAGCATTTAAACAAATGAAAGATATTAAATGGGGTCAGCTATTAGAAATAATAGGAGTTTATTAATAAAAATTGCTTTTGATTAATTTGTTAGAAGCCCTTTATCTTCTTACTTATACTCTCCATTTGCCAGATTGCAGGCTTGTAGAATGTGACCTAAGTGAGTACCTCAGGAAGGAGCTGAATCACCATCTTTTTGCCCACCCTGACATCATCTCTGATAAGACAAATCAATAACTCTTCTGTTCTTTAGGCCATTGTGTCCTAACAGATCTAGAGGATTACCATCATAGAGTCCTGGACATCAGTACTGTCACCAAAATGAGAACAGGCCTTCCTTCTGTTGTTAGTGTGAGGGAACATAGGGGTTCTTAGCATTCATATATTGTCAAGATAGGGAAATAAGCAACTAGAGCTACTTGGGGGTGGGGGGCAGAGTTCGTCAAGCCTTGAGCAAAGCCACTGTGCTAAAACTTTCCTGTTATACCAACAGGAACAACATGCCAGAATTTCACAAGTTAAAAGCAAAGTTGGTGAAAAAGAAAGGAACCCGAGCCTATGCCTGCCAGTGTAGCTGGAGAACTATTGAAGAATTGACTGACCTTCAGACGGATCATCTGCTTCGTTGGGTTTGTGGCAAACATTAAGAAATCGAGCTCTTCCTGTTCAGACCAATGCCTCCGTGGGAGCAGTCTCCAGTAATCATAACATTTTAGGTAAAGTCCCAATATTAGGCCCTTTGGAAAAAGACAGTGAATTTCATTTAATATAATCACACAATTTTTGAAGAATGAATAGACTTGGAAAGATAATGTGCTATAACATTTTGGAAGTATTCCTCTCTGATATGTGGATGTTTCCATTAGAAAGTATGCTAACAAGTAGCCAGAAATATCCTTACAGAATTTCACATAACAATATAGCTTTACATTCACAAATGCAATATTGACTGCTAATGCACTTAGTGTAAATATTCCTCTTTTACAGCAAATACAGGGCATAAGACTGGCCCAGGAAGAGACCTTTATAAAGGTGTCTACATCATCTCCTCCAGTAAGATCTGATGTTGCCAGAGATCATAATGTAGACATGGTAGAAACCAAGGCTAACCGAATGCTTAAATGCACTGGCTCATATCTGACCTTACCTCACCAGCTCAAAGCAATCTTATGCACAGTAACGATAAATGTATGCTAGCAGTTTGGGCCTGTTTTCTTCCATTTGTTCATTTATATACCAAAAGTTATTAAGGTTGATATTTTACCAAATATCTATAGAAAAAGCTTTTGTTATACATGTAAAACCACAAAAACACTCATACAGATTGTTCAGTTTTGCTTTTTTTCAAGTATTTCCCAGCCTTTAATTCATAAAAATCCATCTAGTAAGCACTAATACTATTTTTTAAGGCCATCTATGGACTTTTCTAGCAAGATCAACTTGACACATTATTTACTAGATAAAGACACAAAAGGAAAAACAAGCCTAACAACCAGCAGGTAACCTGTTGGGCTTTCTTTATATCCCTAAGACTTAAAGACCTTGCAGTATATTTAAAAAAAAAAAAATGACTTAAATTTTTTGAAAGGCAGAGAGACAGGAAGATATCTTCTATCTACTAGTTCACTTCCCATAGCAGCCAGGGTTGGCAAGAGCCAAAGCCAGCCCTGTTACACGCATGTGTAACAGGGACCCAAATACTTGGACTGTCATCCACTGCTTTCCCAGGTGCATCAGCAGGAAGCTGGATCAGAGGCGGAGGAAACAGGACTCAAACCACTTCTTCAGTATTGGATGCCAATGTCCCCTAGCCTGCTGCCACACAAGGCCCACCATGCCCAAAACCCTTTGCCACATGTGTCCACTCTGTGGTTCAAATGTGTGACACAGAGTGCCTGGAACAAGAGTCATTGACGCAAACTTATGATCACCGTCAGCTTGTGCCGAAACCCTTCCCGACACCCAACCCAAGGAAGGAAAATTAACATCCCTTCCTAGCCATGGTACATCTGCATGCTTATAAAACTTAACTCTGGTAAGTCAGGCACTGCAGCAGAACAGATCTCATGGGCAGATGCCCACACTTGTATATAAAAAATGTTTGTAGATTTTATTTTGCAATAAATATTTTTTACTCCCTAAAATATATCTCCGTGTAACTCTCTCAGAAATATAGGGGTTTTAGACTTAAATCAGCTATTCCAGGAAATAGCAGAGCAAGCAAAATCCAAACATACAGAGCATCATGGATTTTGGCACATTGGTAGCAATCAGATTTTGGTTTTTGTATTTCAATGACCAAATTACTTTGAAACTTTTTAACCTATTTTGTCTCTGTTTTAGAGAAATAAATTCTCTTTTGATTTCGTTTAATTTTTATTGTTTAATTATCACTATACTGAAGCATAGGCACACTGCCTGTATTTGATATTCTATAACATGATAGTAATCCCCATTGTCAAAAGTATGTATATGAGTTCCCATTTTTATAGACAATTCACTTGATAAGATTTTAAACCTTGTACTGTTTTATATAAGAGTTAGAATGTGTTTATATACAAATTATTAATAGTTGTAATTTAAGCCAAAATGCACCTATTTTCATATCAGCGTACAAGAAAAGCATAGTTTCTAACCAACCATAGTTTTAACATATGAAGTCTAATAAACTTTTGCAATGTTATGCACATTTGTTTTCAATGTTTATAATATTTTCTAGTTTTAGCAACCATCTGTTGTCAAGACAGATTTTTCCTTGAGCTATATTATACCCTCAGCTGCTTATTCTCCATGGAAATAAGTAAATAATAAGCAGCTTTACTTGAATTTTGTTATTTATTACATTGGATAATAAAATATTCCTGTGAGCCTGTCTTTGAGATAGTTTTGACAAATTTTTCTAAATGTCAAGAGCAACAAAAACATTTCCAGCCATTCGCTTGGACAGAGAATGTATTCATTTCCCTCTAGGAAAAGCCTGCCGTAAGTTTAAGGGGGGGGGGGGGGGGTATATACATATATAAAAGAAGGTGGATAGAGAAGCAGGTCCAAGTTCAGGAGGAACTACCTGTGCTGCTATGGTGGGCACATCCAGGCCGTGTTTGTTGATGTCAGTAAACCTGGCGCTCTTTCCTCCCTGACCAATGAAGATGGCTTCAGACTTTGAATCTGAATGACTTTCCCTCTTTTTCTTACCAGTGTAATATCTGTTTTTGTTTCAAGTTTTGTTTGTTTATTTGAAAGACAAAGCAACAGAGAAAGATTTTCCATCTGATAATTGATTTCCCAGATGCCCACAGCAGCTAGGGCTAGGCCAGTGCCCCATCCCTGTGTCCTGCATGACGACAGATTTCCCAGTGTCTGAACCATCACCTGCTGCCTCTCGGGAAGCATATTAGCATGAAGCTGGATCAGAAGGAGAGTCAGAACTCCAGCCCAAATACTCCACTGTGGGACGTGAATTGTCACTTGTTAATACCACCATAAGTCTCAGTACAAAAGAGTTGAAGTACTAGGGTCTGGCACTATTGCTCAGTAAGCTAATGTTCTACCTGCTAGCACCAGCTTTCAATATAAACCCCAGTTCAGGCTCATATTGAACTGCTCCACTTCTGATCCAGGTCCCTGTGTGTGGCCAGAGAAAGCAGCGGAGAATGGCTCCAAGCCTTGGACCCCGCACCCACGTGAGAGGCTCCAAAAAAGCTCCTGGCTTCAGAACAGGTCCAGGCCTGGCTATTGTGGCCATTTGGGGAATAAACAAGCAGATGCAAGATCTGTCTCTCTGTCTCACTAACTGATTTTCAAGTGGAAGAAACAAATCTTAAAACAAACAAAAAAATTGGACCAGTACAAAGGCATTTGAGCATCTCAGAATGTCTTTAGCTTCATCTGCCTCTGCTTACCTCCTCCCTTAGCCAACCCTTCTACTGACTGTTCTTAGATTTTCTCACACTTCATCATATCTTACTGTCTTCATTCATCTGCTCCTACCAAAATCCAACTCATGTTTCAAAGTCAGTATCTGTTTACCAGTAGTTTTCAAAGTGAGGCACACTCTCTGGGGAGTCCCAAAGAATCTTTCACAAAGTTCACAAGATCAAATGAATTTTTATTACACAGAGATGTTAATTTCCTATTTCATTGTGTTGACGTTAATGATCCAAATGGTAAATAAAATTTCTAGTACCTTTAGTTAGCACTTTTCAAAGTAGTGACCTGAGGAGCGAACCAGTTGATGAGAGATCTACCTCTCTCTCTCCATCACAATGCCTTTTAAATTAATTTTTATTAGGAAAAAAAGAGAGAGAGACAGCAGAATCCGCTTTCACTTAAGAATGCCCGTGATGGGGTAAGTGTTTGGCACATTGATTCCTTATAATGGTACCTGGGTCCAGCCCCACTTGCTGTCCAGACTCCTGTTCACCCATTCGCTGGGTAACAGCAGTGATGGCTTAGGTACTTGAGTCTCTGCCATCCACATGGGATACCAGATTGAGTTCCTGGCTTCTGGCTTCAGCCTGACTCATCTCTGGGTATTGCAGGCATTTAGGGAATTAATGATCTAGCTCTGTGTCTCTCACATAAAAGAAAGTAAATAAATTGCAGTCTCTTCTACAAAAACAGAATGTCCTTGATAATCGCAGTAAAACAATTATTTTACTAAACTCAGCCTTCAAAACCATCGTTTTAATAATTCCTGTGACTCAGTGGGAAGTATCCATAAAACACTTGTGCAATTTTCTGAGTTGTGAGCTGAGCAGACTGCTTATTTTGCAGAATTTATATTTGCTTGAAGTAGTGACGAACAAACTGCGAGTATTCAGAACATTACTGTCATTTCCAGGAAAACAACTGGCAGCATTCTAAGTGAAAATTAAAATTTGGGGACATTTTTACCTACCATTATCAGCAAGATAATTTCTTCAATATTTAAATTACTTTGCCTTTTTTTTAAGATTTATTTATTTTATTGAAAGGCAGATTTACAGAGAAGAGACAAAGAGAGATCTTCAATCTGCTGGTTCACTCCCAAAATGGCCGCAGTGCCCAGAGCTGAGCTGATCCAAGGCCAGTAGCTTCTTCCAAGTCTCCCACGTGGGTACAGAGGCCCAAGGCCTTGAGCCATCCTCCACTGCTTTCCCAGGTCATAAGCAGGGAACTAGATTGGAAGTGGAATAGCTGAGACACAAACTGGTGCCCCTGTGGAATGTTGGTGCTAACAGGCAGACGATTAGCCTGTTGAGCCACAACACCAGCCTCCAATACTTCAGTCCTTTCTTAATGAGACTAGTGGTGGTATCAACAAATGATACTTTTTTTGATACTTTGTAATGAAATTTGATAATATTTAGAAGATCATCAAGCAAATACTGCCAAATGGTCATTACATGATATGACAAAATTAGTCATTTAAAGTGCAAGATAGACCAATGGATTTTGACAGAGTACTAAAAGCTGTTATCTCAGTTTCTACATTGCAACTAATTTTCTAAAACCTAGCACTTGTTAAGTTTTGATACAAAATAGAAAAGCCACAGTCTGACGAGATTAGGAAAATACTCTCCTCTTTTCCAACTATATGTTTCCATAAAGCCAGACTTTATTCTAAGATTTCAGTCAAAACAATCTGTTTCAAGATAGAGGAAAAAATAGTAGATATGAGAATCCAGCTGCCTTCTATTAAGCTTCAAGATTAAAGAGATTGGCAAAAATGTAAAACAAATGGCACTCCTTCCACTACATTTGTTTTGGAACGCAGGCATTTTCATAAAGTTTTGCTAATGTGTAGTAGGCTTCTTGTCTTTAAACATATAGAGTAACAGTGTATGTTGTAATGTTCCCAATTTTAGTTTCTAATAATCGAAACAGTTATAAACACACACACCAAAAACCAGTTCTTTGGAGTTCACAGTCATTATCAAGGCTGCAAAAGGGTCCCGAGACCAGAATGGTTGAGAACTGTGGAACACAACCCTAACCACCCTCTCACCCATCCCCCACCCTGCTGAAGCTGTGCCCTCTCCCCCTCTCGTCCACTTTCCTACTGCTTCCCATGTAACTCCACCTTGTGTTGTGATTACTTATGTGCTCATTGTAACCGTCTGGGAGATTTCATTTCAAGCTCTTTGAAGGGTCTTGAGGGCTAAGGGAAACTAGATGGGAGTGTGATGCCACCAACTTCCTAAGGCACTGACAGCCACTGTATCTTTGGACTTATCTGAAAAATGAGTCTCTCTAGGTTGAAAATTATATGGATGCTATTTCTCTAAAAGTACTCTGGTGGGATCAATGATATGCCCACTATCCAGACACTGTGAGACATCGTCTGTGTGGTGAGGAAAAGCCCAGATTCTGAAGTCAGTGGTTCGTGGACTTTAAAATAGCATCATCTGTGTTGTGTGAAAGCTCTCACTCAATGGAGCAGAAAAGTGCACCATTTACTACCACAGTGGGCCATGAGTGCTCCTGGAGGGACATAAATGGGTCCGCACCGACGACTGGCATCTAAATCAGGGTGGGAAAGAAGACGTTTTCTTCCTCCTTATAGGAGATGAGTTAGCGCAGAGCAACGTGCACTGAGGCAATGCACAGCTGGAGGTGCTTGAGTAACTACAGTTGATCCTGCCTGCTTTTTACAGTCAGTATGGTAGGATGTAAGGCTAACACTGGAGAGATAAGTAGACTGAGTTAAACATGTCCCATATAGTTAGCCTCATGGGATAGAAAGTGAACTAAGTGGCAGAAGTTGTTGAACAAGAAAGATGACAAGCACTTTTTCCAAGTGACATATTGTGTGTGTGTGTGTGTGTGTGTGTGTGTGTGTGTGTGTGTGTGTGTGAAAAGTTAACTCTCACCTCTCCTTCCAAGAGAATTGTACATCCTCACTTGTTGAACTCAGGAGGAAAAGACAGCCTGTGAGAATGCAAGGACCTCAGGAATACTGCGCCAAGAAAACTATTTCCAGTTAAGACAAGGTCAGGGCATAAGGATTCATTTATCACGGAATGACATGCCATAGTCAGTGAAAATGTTCAAAAGGCAGCAGTGAGGGGAAAATGGCAAGGAAGGGCAAGGAATAGCAAGATTTGGGAAAGGAGGACTGAGAAATATTAGGAGAGAGCTCCAGGGAACTTACTCTG